TGTTGCTTCTGAGCTGGATGGCCGCTTGATTACCTTCAAGCCTTTAAGACCCCAGACGCTATACTTTTTGATAGCTGGGCACCATCAGCTTTCTTTGCCACATTTGTTTATGCACCCATTTGTCTTCAGTGATCCATTCGACACCTCGTGATCACACAGGCTGGTATGTTGTTCCATGTGGGCTTTGTTGCTTCTGAGCTAGATGGCTGCTTGTTTAACTTCAAGCTTTTAAGACCCCAGATGCTGTATCTTTTGATAGCCGGGCATTGTTGTGTATATTTTTGCCACAATTAAAAATATATTAATTATACAACTAACAATGAGTAAAAGGAAGAAGAAAATGTTCTAAAATTGATTGTGGTGATGATTGTACAACTCTTCTTATATGATTGAACTATTGTGTGATATGTGGATGAAGTGCCAATAAAACTGTTAAAAAAAAGAAATGCTTATTGACTGAGAGAAGAATAACATGAAAATAATGTGAACATTTATTGAAGATATCAGTTATGTGCTAGGTGCTATACAGACATTTTTCATTCTCACATTAACCTTATGGTTATATTTTTGATCAACAGGCATAGAGGTTAAATAATTTCCCTGAGGTACAAAGATAGTAGCTGAGGAGCAAAAATTGGAATGGGGCAGGGGGAGAGGGTGCAATACGGGATAACCATTTGCTTAACCATGTGTACCACGCAGCATTCATTCTCTAACATACAATATTCTTCTCAATGTTATTAAATCAATGAACTTTGTTCTATTTTTATCAACACATTTACTTAAACACTTTCACAAAGTAACAAACTTCATTTTATTATCCACTGGACAAGTCACCATTATTGTCTTGACAGAATTACACCACACAGTAGGACTGTCACTTAGTCTCAGAAGTAGATAGGTGCCACTGCCTTTTCCTCTGCTTTCCGTTGTCTCCACCCACCAGGTCTGCTCAGTCTGAGGGCCCTGCACCTTTCCTCTCCCCCACTTCCCCCTCGAGGACTTGGAGCAGAGGGGGCTCCAGGGATGGCTGGTCTTAGTTCCTTGAAAGTGGACCACCTGCTAAGAGCTGAAGGAAACTCCTCTTGTCTTGGGCTTTGTTTGGTTTAATGAATATTCCAGATGAACTTTGTTTATCCTCTTATTAAGTTATCTCTGCCAATTATGCTGCTGAAATAAATGCTCCCTCTCCACCCCCTGAAAGGCTCCACCCTCTTCTGTCTAACTCTATCCTTTGCTTTTATTTCACACTGCTAGGGCCCTCCCACAGCCGGAATATCTTGCAACCTACCTGCGATTGTCCTTACTGGGGATGTCAGTTCACCAGAAGGAGCCACTGATGAGAATCAGGCCAACAGGTACATGCCCCCCTTGTCAGATTCGTGCTACGAAGAACAGTATGTTCCAGAACGTCGGGTCAACCAGTTCTATACCTTGTAAACATTTTTTTCTTCTTGTATCATTTTTTTGAAGAAAATACAATCAAGAAGGTTTTCAAAATAGGAGAGGATTGGGGATTTTTCCATTACTTTCCCCCACCCCATCCCCAAACGATTGCCCGTTTCCTAGATTTGGCCCTTTGTATATGTTTGCCTTTAAGAATAGCAAAAAACATAGCAGAATTGCTCACTGTATAATTTCAGGCAGACCTGAAAAATGGTTATCAAAATTGGTGGGTGGGGCCGGGAGAGATCTCTCTTGCAAAGGACATTGGCCAACATGCACGGAGGTGGGGTGGGGTGGGAGGGCAAAGCAGTTAAGCTAGAGTGAAGTTGTCCAAGTATAATTTTCAAAATTTTAAAATGACAAATCTCATACAGGCATAGTGAGCACTTGTCAAAGATCTATTCGTGAGAGCACCGGCAGAGTGACGCTGGTGTCTGATTCAAACTATCGAGGGAGATACATATAAACAGTGGTTAGGAAGAAAGGTACCAAATAGGGCACAGAACCTATACTTTTGTGGTTATCTTTCCTCCCCCACAAGCCATCTGCCGCTGTCCCAGATAAGAGTTATTTATGTCTTAGGAGTTTTTCACAAGTTAGATATTAACGCATAGTTGGGGTCCTAATAAATCATAAATAATAAGCAATGCTGGATTACCCAATAAGAAAGGTAAGCATGGGCTGCCTTGTGCTTATGAATTTGTAGTGAGTAATTTAATGTTTGTCTACCACATCAAAGATGCTGCTTCTAGGCCTGGCTGGCATCTGTCTCTCTCCCAAGCCCACAGCACCTGCCGACAGAATCAAAGCCTCTTTCAAATGTACATGCCTTGAGTAAGCAAGATGAACACAGGCTTACTTAACTGACTGACCAGGAGTGAAACCCAACCTTGCTTGCTGGGTCTGAGTGGCATCTCCTTTAGAGCAGTGGTTTATAAGCCTTCCTGTCAATCAGAAGCACCTGGGGCTTGCTGACCCAGATTGCTGGCCCCTCCCTCAGTTTCTTTCTTTAAAAAAAAAATTATCATTCCTTGTTGTTGTTTTTAATTATTTTTTTCCAATAGTTTTATGTGCAAGTAATTTACATATCATAATTCAGTAGTTCAATCATTCAATCATATCAAGGAGAATTGCACAATCACCCCCACATCAATTTTATTAGACCATCCCCTCTCCCATGGTTAAACCGCCTCTCAGTTGAGTTATGCAATCACAATTCATTCTAGTGCTTCCTCCCACTCCCGTCTTCACCACTGACTCCCAAGCTCCCTTTACCCTCTCCACACCGTCCCTGTAGTCCTGTAACCCCTTGTATTCTCATTAGACATCCACTCCTCCTGTGCTTCACGGCTGGGAGACCCAATGAGAAGCAATAAAAGCAAAATCGCACTAAGGTGGTAAGGATAAAAACATAAAAGTATACAGACAAAGATACAAATAATGCATAAAAAGGGACAGACCCCCAGCAGCATTCAAAAAGCCAGGGAAGAAATTTCTGTCATGGAACCAATAAGAGATAGTTGCACCCATCTCTAGGGTGGCCAGCTGGGCAAGAGTCAAGGTGAATGCAACATTATCAAGATTGCAGCGATCTCTACCTGTTAGTGAGGCTGTTCAGACGCTCGCCTGAGGCTGGAGTGGCTCAGCCGGGGGCTAGGCCTGACTTGGTCCTCCCTCGGGGGTCTTGATCCATGCAGTTGCACCGGGGTTGCTGTTAGCTGCCATCAAGGTGGCCACGGCTCATGGCCCCCCGCCCCT